GTGTGGAAAACGGTCCCAAGTCATATTTTTCAGTGGCGGTGTAACTTCGAACAGCCACTAAACGAACTGTTGAGGACTAGCTGCATAGTCCTTCCCGTTAACTGTTTTGTCATTAATATATAGCACAAAGGTGACCGATTAATAACTTGCAAATCGAATTAGTAATTAGCAGTTAAATTATTAGGCCCCCCCAAATTGTACTACTCATTTACTCCTAATAATTTAACTACTAACTACTCAGTTAAATTATTAGTAAATGAGTAGTACAATTGGGGGGGGCCTGTTTCAGAAACTAAACTAGTTGTAAAATATTAATCCTGATTAATATTTTACAACTATTTTAATTTCTGAAACAGGCCCCCCAAAATTGTACTACTTATTTACTCCTAATAATTTAACTACTAACTACTAAGTTAAATGATTAGTAAATGAGTAGTTCAATTTGGAGGGCCTGTTTCAGAAACTAAACTAGATGTAAAATAATAATCCAGATTAATATTTTACATTTTAGTTTCTGAAGCAGGCCCCCAAAAACTGTACTACTTATTTACTCCTAATAATTTAACTGCTAACTACTATTTCGATTTGCAAGTTATTAAAATTGCACTACTAATTAATCTAATAATTTAACTAACTTCTAATTCAATTTGCAATTTATTAAAATTGTAATTACTCATTAATCTAATAATTTAACTGACTTTTAATTCAATCTGCAAGTTATTAAAATTTTTACTCATTAATCTAGTAATTTAACTACTACCAATTCGATTTGCAAGTTACTAAAACTGTACTACTCATTAAACCTAATAATTTAACTACTACTAATTCGATTTGCAAGATTAAAATGGTACTACGCATTCACAATTTAACTAACTTCAAATTCAATTGGCAAGTTATTAAAATTGTACTCATCAAACCTAATAACTTAACTACTAGTCATTCGATTTGCAAGTTACTAAAATTGTACTACTCATTAAACCTAATAATTTAACTACTAATTAGATTTGCAAGTTATTAAAATGGTACTAATTAATAATTTAACTAACTTCAAATTCGATTTGCAAGTGATTAAAATTGTACTCATCAAACCTAACAATTTAACTACTACTCATTTGATTTGCAAATTACTAAAGTTGTACTCCTTAAACTTAATTAACTACTAATTCGATTTGCAAGTTATTAAAATTGTACTACTCATTGCTCAGTCTTAATATTTTACAACTATTTGAGTTTCTAAAACAGCCCCCCCCCAAAACCGTACCACTCATTTACTCCTAATAATTTAACTCCAACTCAGTATTCACATTTTGATATTAATAATATGTTCCGTTGTTTCAAATAATCGCTATATTCAACTCGGAGAGACAAAACCGTGAATTTACGTTGGGTCCTTTTTAAAAAAATTTTTTTTGAAAAAAGTCCCGTTAATTTTCTGTGTGTGTTTTTTTCCCCTTTGCTATTTTTTTTCTTTTTAAAAAATATTTTTTGGGGGGAAGGGCTGTTTTGCGTTTTAACTTTTATTTATTTTTTTTATTTTTGGGAAGAAAAATCCAAAAGAGGAGCTTTAAAGACCAAGAAGAGAAAGAAAGAAAACACGCGGAGAGAGAAGAGCAGTTGATGCCCCTGTTCGTTTTATTAATATAGAGAACTGGGATATATATATATATATATTTGTTCTAAATTGTCCTTGAATTTAATATCGCTCGGCAAAAAACACTGAATTTTTGCCAAGAAGGAAATTGCTAGCGATTGTACAATATTGCAGCCCAACTTGGAGGAACGAGCTAGAGAAAGAGAGAGACACAATACACAAACAAAATTTCTGCTTCTAAGGAATGCCGATGATAAATTAAAAGAGGAAAAAATGCAAAATATAAGGGTAGGAAGCTTTCCCGTAAATTACGCGCTGGTCCAAAGAGTTTTCTGCGCTGTGCATCCACCAATATTTTTGCTCGCTTCTTCGGACTATATTTGTAAATTTGAAGGTTCACCGTGCGACGGGCGTTAAGACTTAAGTGTGTAAAGTGGCTCCCCCCCCCTTTTTTGATCGTAAAAATAATAATAAAAAAGCGGTACGAGCAGGGTGGGAAAAAAAACCGAGCTAAAATCGTGAATTCCCAATTCTTCCGTTCCAAAGCCCTTGGGTGCAAGCTGCCTATTTTTCCTATAAATCTGATTTTATTTTTATTTTATTTTTCCCGCCTTCCGGGGAGGAGAGAAGCTAAGGAGGAGAAAAGGGGAAGGATTAAAAATGGAAGAGGACGAGAGCGAAATGGCACACAACGCAGAAGCAGCCGAAAATGCCTTCTGCTGTAGGATGACAAGGCGAGACACAAGGCGTTGCGCCCTTCGGTTCCTTTCGTTTAATGACGTTTTATGCTTGTTTTTCTTTTTTTATAGAGACATGATAAATGCACTGCAATAAGGAGAGAGGGGGGGAGCGAGAAAGGAGAGGGGGAGAGAGAGAGAGGAGACAGAAAGGAGAGAGACAGTGAGAGAGAGAAAGGAGAGGGAGACGAGAGAGAGGAGAAAGAAAGGAGAGCGAGAGACAGGAGAGGGAGAGAGAGGAGAGAGGGAAAGGAGAGGGAGAGAGAATGGAGAAGAGAGAAAAGAGACACAGAGAGAAAGGAGAGCGAGAGACAGGAGCAAGAAAAAGGAGAGGGAGAGAGATAGAGAGAGTGAGAGAAAGGGGGGAGAGGAGAGAATGGAGAGAAAGGAGAGAAAAGGGAGACGGTGAGCGAAAGGAGACAGACAGGAGCAAGAGAAAGGAGAGAGGAGAAAAGAGAGGGAGACAGAGAGATAGAGAATGGAGAGAAAGGAGAGCAAGAGACAGGAGCGAGAGAAAGGAGAAGGAGAGATAGAGAGAAGAGAGCGAGAGACGGGAGCAAGAGAAAGGGGAAGGAGAGAGGAGAGGAGACAGACAGAAAGGAGAGAGACAGAGTGAGAGAGAGAAAGGAGAGGGAGACAGAGAGAGGAGAATGGAGAGAAAGGAGAGAGGAAAGAGAGAAAGGAGAGGGAGACAGAGAGAGAGGAGGGAGAGAAAGGAGAGAAAGGAGAGCAAGAGACAGGAGCAAGAGAAAGGAGAGGGAGAGAGATAGAGAGAAGAGAAAGGAGAGAAAAGAGAGTGAGAGAAAGGAGAGCGAGACACAGGAATGAGAGAAAGGAGAGGGAGACAGAGAGCGAGAAAGGAGAGAGATAAAGAGAGGAGAGAGAATGGAGAGAAAGGAGAGAAAAGAGAGACGGCGAGAGGAAGGAGAGACAGGAGCGATTGGAAGGAGAGGGATAGAGAGAGGAAAGGAGAGAGAGAGGAGAGAGAGTGCGAAAGAAGAGAGATATAATATATATATATATATATATGTATATATATTACACACATAGGATATATCTTTCTATGTATAATATTAAAATAAAATAAGTTATAGGCCTCTCCGGCTTCTCGCCCTCTTCCAATCGTGTCCTTTCCAAAGCAAATCACACTTGTGGGTCCGTCGCCGAGGCCGACAAAACCGTCGGGAAGAGGTGTGTGAAAAACGAGAAGCAGGAAAAAACAAGAATTTGGCTCAGTTCTGGGTTCACATTTTTCAAACCGAGAGGATCCGAACCCCCCCCCCAACCCGGTGGCCCTGGAGAAGGTGTAAGATGTAGCTCGGCCTCGCTTGAAGGCCACCAACGGGAGATGGAGAGGTCATGAAGAGGCAACATCTGAGGGGAGGGAGGTTGCGATTCACGTAGGGTTGGCCGACCATGAGCGGACATCACAATGGAGCAGACATGCAGACGTCAGCGGTGTGTTGTGTGTAAGGACGAAAGAACGACAATGTTAGGTCCAGCTTGTCTAGACGGGGAGATCTACTCGGTTTGTGGGCTGGAAGATCTTGGTCGTGACCTCAACTGGAGGTCCCCAGGTCATCTAGTTGAGGTTCAACCTTCCAGAAGCCCTCTGGATTGTGGACCTTTGGGGGTGGTGGTCTACATCAAACCCAACCTTGTGGTTCTTCAAGGTAGAGATTCCCCCTTTCGCAACCAAGTTCTCCTTTCCAAAGTGGTCTTCTGTGACGTCTCTAGAGGAGACTTCCCATCGTCCTTAGAGATAATGCCAAGAAGAAAGGAGACTTTCTTGGAGATGGGGTCAAGAAGAAGAGGAAACTCATCAACCTTGGAGATAATTCAAGAAGAGGAGGAGACCTCCCATCGTCCTTGAAGATAACTCAAGGAAAAGAGTAGACTCATCATGGTCCTTGAAGATAACTCAAGAAGAACAGAAGACTCATCATGGTCCTTGAAGATAACGTCAAGAAGAAGAGACTTCCCATCGTTCTTGAAGATAACTCAAGAAAAAGAGAAGACTCATCATTGTCCTTGAAGATAACTCAAGAAGAACAGGAAACACCTCATCGTCCTTGGAGATAACTCAAGAAGAACAGGAGACTTCCCATCGTCCTTGGAGATATCATCAAGAAGAAGAGGGGACTCATCATTGTCCTTGAAGATAACTCAAGAAGAACAGGAGACTTCCCATCGTCCTTGGAGACAACACAAGGAGGTTTCTGATGGACCAGGGGTTCCTGATGGGCTGAAGGCCAAGTCATGCTGTAGAAGTCTTCAACAAAGGGAGGAAGGTTGGACGCCAACCCAATCCTTACTCCCTTCCAGAGGTGTCTTTCATCCAAGGGGTTGATCTGGTCTACAAGGCTCCTTTCCAACGGTTGAAGAGGAATCCAATCCAGTTGAAGACCTTGGCTGAAGGCCAACGGAGGTTCTCCTCAAGGTTCTACCACAACGTTCCTTCGATAAAGGAACCTTGTGGTAGAGGTACCAGGCCACAAAATGGGACATCAAGAAGGGAGAATGAGTTCTACCTCAGATCTTTCTCATCTCGGATAGGACCATCCCGCCAGGAGGTGGACCTCCAGGCATCTCAAAAGGGTTCAACCACCGAGACGGGAAATGTCCCTTCCTTTTCCCCATCTTTCCCCCACCCACCTGCAACGGACGGTCGGTCACTCCGTCAGTTTCCGTTTGGACGGCGGGATCAGATGAGCCGGCAGCTCGCCGGGAAGCTCGTGACCTTCCAACTTGACCTTGATGAGGTGGTTGGCCAAGGCAAACTCCTCGTCATCCAGCATGCCGTCCTTGTCGATGTCGGACAGCTTCCAGATCTTTCCCAGCACGGTGTTGGGAAGCTTGGACCTCACCATCTCCTTCTTGGCGTGGGCCCCGGTGATCTTCCCGTCCACGGGGGACAAGGTGTAGAAGATCTCGTCGTACATGGGCTTGTCCCGGGCCACCACCCAGTCGGCGTCGTCGATGCCCTCGCCGGCGCCCTCGCCGTAGCCGTGTCCGAAGGGGCCGTGGAGGGTGCCTTCAAAGGCGCCGCCTTTAACCATCTGGGCCGGCCGCTGGGCCTCCTCCTGGCGGACCAGGACCATCAGCTGGGCAATGTCGTTGGCCAACATGTCCTCCACAGCGTCCAACAGCTTGGTCTTCAGAGGTTGGAACTTGCTGAAGTCTTGGCCCTGGAGCTGCTCCTGGGAAGGGACGGGAGAGACGGGAGACGAGGTGAGAACGGGGTGGAGGGGGCAGGGAGGAAACCTCCACCCCCCAAAAAAACACACACAACACACGTACAACTTATGGGGGTCTCCTGCTGGAGGACGGGGTTGGGCTAGAAGACCTTGCGCTTCCTCTCTCTCTCTCTCTCCCTCTTTTTCTTTGTATGTGTGTAAAAAAGAGTGGCCTCACCCTGTACCCACGAGCTGACAAGCTTACTGGGCGGGTCTCCTCCCTTTGCTGCGTCTCTGCAGGAAGCAGGAAGGAGCTAGCTAGCCCAGCTCTGCTGACTCAGGAATTCTGGGAGTTGAAGTCCACGAGTCATAAAAGAGCCGAAGTTGCCTACCCCTGAGCCAGCCCAATAAGAATGTGGGTCAGCTTGTTGGAGAACAGCTTGAAGCCAGCTTGCCAGGTGTGCAGAAGATCGGAGAGAGGAAGGGGGGGGAGAGAGAAAGAGAGAGAGGGAGAGAAAGAGAGAGGGGAGAGAGAGAGAAAAAAGAGAGAGGGAGGAGAAGAAAGAGAGAGAGAAAGAGAGAGGCAAGAGCAAGTGAGAGAGAGAGGAGAGAGACAGAAACAAAGAGAAAGAGAGAGAAAAAGGGGGAGAGGAAAGAGGGAGGGAGAAGGAGAGGAAAGAGAGACAAAGAGAGAGGGAGAGGAAAGAGAGGAAAGAGAAAAAGAGAGAGATAGGAAACAGAGAGAGAGGGAGAGGAAAGAGAAAAAGGGAGAGGAAAGAGATAGAGAGAGGAAAGAGAAGAGAGAGGGAGAGAAAAAGAGAGAGAAAGAGAGAGAGGAAAGAAGAGAAAGAGAGAAAGAGATAGAGGAGAGAGGGAGACAGAAACAAAGAGAAAGAGAAAGAGAGAGGGGAGAGGAAAGAGAGAGAGGGAGAAGAGAGAGGGGAAAGAGAAAGAGAGAGAGAGAGAAGAAGAGGAAAGAGAGATAGAGAGAGAGGAAAGAGAAAGAGAAGAGAGGGAGAGAAAGAGAGAGGAAAGAGCAAGAGAAAGAGAAAGTGAGAGAGAGAGGAAAGAAAAAGAGAAAGAGAGGAAGAGAGAGGGATAGGAAAGAAAGGGAAAGAAAGAGAGGGAGGGATAGGAAAGAGAGAGAGGAAAGAGAAAAAGAGAAAGAGAGAGAGGAAACAGAGAAAAGAGAAAAAGGGAGAGGAAAGAGAAGAGAGAGGGAGAGGAAACAGAGAGAGAGGAAAGAGGAAGAGAGAGGAAGAGGAAAGAGAGAAAGGGAGAGAAAGAGGGAGGGAGAGAGAGGGAGGAAAAAAGAGGGAGAGAGCGGGGGAGAGGAAAGAGAGAAAGGAAAGAGAAAGACAGAGAGGGAGAGAGGATAGAGAGAGGGAGACAGAGAAACAAAGAGAAAGAAAGAGAGGGGGGAGAGGAAAGAGAGGGAGAGAGAGGGAAAGTGAGAGAGGAAAGAGAAAAAGAGAGAGAGAGAGAGGGAGAGGAAAGAGAGAAAGGGAGAGAAAGACAGAGAAAGAGGGAGAGAGAGAGGAAAGAGAGAGAAAGAAAGAGAGGGAGAGAGAGGGAGGGAAAGACAGAGAGAGACTCTTTTGATATCTAAAATGAAGATAACACTGCATATATCCTTTTTTTAACCTTTATATTTCGTTTTTTCCCCCGACAACTTTTACCTGCATTTTCTTTAAATTGGGAAAATCGCCCGGTGAAATTTGATGCTCTCGCTCGATCCGGCCGTAAATCTCGCCCAGATTGTTCACCAATTCTTTCTTTTTGTTATCTTTCCCGAAGACCGAGGGCATTTCTTTCTTCAGGGAGCTGATGATGTAGGCTTGAACCTACATTTATTTAACAAAATAAAATAAAATAAGGCAGCGATATAATAAAATAAAATATAGTAAAATAAAGCA